CAAGGGAAAAGCAGCAAGTCAACCATATTCTTCAAAAGAAAACCCACAGGGGAAGTATTTGCTTGAATTGACCAACAAAAAGTTGTTTGCAATTCATAATGAATTCTTGTTAATATTTATTTTCCATATTTTAGGCAATCATAAAATGAATTCAATGTTTGATTAATGTTGGATTTTATTGCAGATGATTTTTGAAAAATAAAATGACAAAGGAAAAAAATATCAAGTTATATAAGTATATGTTTATGTATACGAGCTAGAGTTAATCTAGACGAGCTATATGCTACTTGTCAATCAGTTTCTATGTGTGGAGTTTACATAGAAACTGATTGACAAGTAGTCCATATAGAAAACTGTATGTCGGGGAATCCTTGTAGACGAGCTATACACCAGGGTGTTTATATGGACAAGCTGGATTTCAGGGAATGCAATGGCGAACTTAATTTCAGTGAGTCCATATGCGTGAGAAAAAATGCAACAAAGTCAAACGCCATAATTTTCACATTTTTTTTTTATTTTTAATGAATAAAAGCAAAAAAATTGGAAAATAGCATCCAATTTTAGAATAAGTTTAGATTTATTCGAATTGGTCAGCTTTGGCACGAATTATGGCCATCAAACGGCCAATGAAACCGTCACACGCTGCCCGAATGTTGCTTTGCAGTACTTTGGCCCATTCCAGGCGAAGCGCTTGCTTGAGGTGATCGACACTTTGGTGTTTTTTAGTGCCAACCTTGCTTTCCATAATACTTCAGACACAATAGTCCAACGGATTGGTATCCAGAGTTTTTGGTGGCCATTGTGCGCTGGAAATGAAGCGAGGAACTTCATTTTGTGACCATTCTTGAGTGCGATGGTGCTGAGTCCTGTTGGAATGTCCAAGGTCTGCGGCCAAAATGTTTGCGGCTTTAATACACCCTCCAGAATATTTTCTCGATAAAATTCGGCATTTATTCTGATGCCACGGTCGATTAATACGAGCGGAGAGCGACCATCGGCTGTTATGGCGGCCACACCGTCGCCATGGCTGGCGCTTAAGTTCTGTTGGCCAACCGAAGGTGCACCTTTTCAGCTGACCTCTTTGGCAAGTAAACACAATCATTTTGTTTGTTCGGAGAAAGCCAAATTCGACAGTTCACCACTGTCGGCCAAGCGAAGCAACTCTCTAGCTCTTTTGAGTCTATTTTCTTTCTGTTGCAGCGTTGGGTGTACGTTCTTGCACTTTTTGGAAATTCAATGGCTATATCCCGAGCTCATTTTTCAATATTTGCCGAATGGAATATTTCGATATATTCAGCTCGCAAGCAATTTTTCGGCCATATCTGCTGATGTTGCTGTTTTCTTCCGTCTACTTTCTTGACTTCGGCCTTAGAAATTTCAGCAGTCTGACGTTGGTTGCAGTTTTTACATCTCAACCATTAAAGAACGGAACGACAAACAGTAAATATAGAGGAGCTGTATGCCAGGGAGATTATATAGATGAACTGGATACCAGGGAGTCCATATAGAAGAGCTGGATGCCAGGGAGTCCATGTAAGAAAGAACGACAGACAGCAAATATAGACGAGCTGGATGCCAAGGTGTCGATATAGACGAATTGGATGAAAAAACTCCAAACATAGAAACTGGGGTTACAGGTTGTCCATGTAGAAAAACTGGATGAAAGGGAGTACAAATAGACGAGCTGGATGCCAGGAAATACATGTAGAAGAAGGGGGTGAACTGGATGCCATTCTCCCTATGGACCCGGCGGATGCCTACATAGGCCTAGTGGACTTCCACATGTATCCAGGGAATTTTCCGTACATGTATCCAGGGAATTCTCCGTATGGTCTCAGGGAATTCCCCCTTTGAGTCTGGAGAATTACCCCTATGGATGCCCCCTAAGAGACCGGGTGTTTCCCCCTATGAGCTCGAGGATGCTCCCTATGAGTGCGGGGGATTTCCCCCATGGTTCCATTGAATTACCCTATGTGTGCAGGGGATTCCCCCTTTGAATCCAGGGGATATCAATACCCCTTATCTCAGTTAGGTAGGCACGTGAATTTGGTCTGTGCACATTGTTTTTTGCCAAATAGATGTTCATTTTCCGTTGTGGCGTATGACAAATAAATTATTGATCATACGCACCCATAATATGTTTCTTTCTGCGTTTCTGCGGCAAATATTTGTTAATATGCTGTCCATAAAATAAAACTTATAATATTTTAATATGATGATGGTTCGGCTGAAGTTCAATAAAAAAATTTATTCAGTTGTTTCCGTTTTTCTCTTAATTTTATCCCATAATATTTAACAAAAACAAAACAGCCTTTATACTATTATTTATATTTAAATCCAAACAGACAAAACAATGGACAAGTGAATCAATGTCAAAAATAAACCCCAGCATAAGCAAAACTTTTCAACTACTACAATTAGCTCTCAGCAACAGACAACCACACTTCGAGTAGCTAATTTAAATTTGATTGAGAATGTCATAATGACACTTCAACGAAGCAAAGAACCCAAAAATAAATATTGATATGCTCGTGTATCAGAAGTAGGTGTTATGATTTCTGTTTTTGTTTATTTAGCATTCATTGACAGTTATATTTTTTTGTTCGTTTTGTTGCCTTTGAAAATCTCAGACAAAACGGAAATACAATATCGACAAGAAAAACAAACAACGAAACACAACCAAACTGTGTAAATGTTTTGTTCGACAGTAGTAGTCGACTGACTGCCACAACCACACAACAAACAAATCCATTGGAAAACCAATAAATAATGGAAATGGAAAATAGTCTACACAACAAAAAATGTTAGTGTATCTTCCACACACAAGCAAGCAATGAATACGAAGAAGAGAGAAGGAGGAGCAAACAACAAAACGCTGTATTGATACAAATCAATTGTTGGCCATGTTCTTTTTGTTTTCGTTCGCCACACACCGTCGGGTCTTAGCAGCAACACTTTACGCCATTTATAGTTTGAAATGGAACGAGGGTATTTATTGTTTAAACGGGGTAACCGACAAGGTTTCCAACACTCCGTTCCCATTCATGGCAAAAGCGAACATCCTTCGTAGGAGTCTTTGAGGTTTTTCATTGAGTAAACAATAAAGTCAATATTTCTATCATTTATTTTTCGTTTTGGTGCTATTGCTGTGCACAATGGGGTGTGGGAGGGCATTATCGATTGCGTATGATATAAAATGAGAATTATGTCGGTCATTTTTCAACAAATTGATCCGAAATACAGGTTTTTAAATATTTTTTTTTAATCTAAAACTATTTGTATTTTTCAAGACAATCGAAATTGCGCACCTAAATTGAAGGACAAACTATGTTATAACCATGAATTTCGAAATCATTGTAGGCTGAACTAAGATTTTTTTTTCAAAATATGTTGAGCGACTAACAGAGTTAGTACCGCGTTTTTAAAGAATTTATTTTTTTAAGGATTTTCGGAGCTTGATAGTTAAATATTGAAGAATATAGACGTAATGGGGAATGTTTTTAGGAAATTTTTAAAGAAACATCCCGTAATAATAATTTAGATATTTTTTGAGAATATATTTTGAAGGGTTATCAGACATGAATTTTGTGAAAGAATGTCTTTTGATTATTTATCAGAGCTATAATGGTGATTCTTAAGATTATTTTTTTAATTTTCTGAGGAAAGTTTTGAAGGACTATGAAAATTATGAACCTTTTTAGGAGCTGTCGCGTATTTTCAAACTGATTTTTTGATCGACGAGTATCGTTTATTCTTTTATGCCGATTTTGAATTGTTAATTTTTTAAAGAATATTCTTTCAAGGATTGTCTTACCTTTAATATTGAAATTTAAGAGAAATATTTTTGAAGAAAAATGTCTAAAATTGTGGATTTTTATTGAATATTTTCAACGACTTCTGTACATCTAATCGTAGATATTTAAAGACATTTGCCCCCTTTTTTGCTATTCTTCCAGGAATATCGGAATGGTGTTAATTTTTAACGGATATTTTTTCAAGAACTGTCCTACCTTTACTCGTGAATTTTTAAAGCGAACTTTTTTAAGGAGTATTAGAAACGAGATAGACCCATAATTCATTTTTTTGATCTGCATAGAATCCCATTCTGAGTCGATTTATGCATATCCGTCCGTCTGTCCATGTGTTTTTGTAAATAAAGTATATGTCTATTTATTGCCCGATCCAAAAAAAAAAAAAATTAGCTCTTTGGCAAGTAAACACGATCATTTTGTTTGTTTACAAACTGCTGGACAACGAATATTTTATCGTCGGAGAAAACCAAATTCGGCAGTTCACCACTTTCGGCCAAGCGAAGCAACTTTTTAGCTCTTGTAAGTATATTTTCTTTCTGTACGCTTGTAAAAAATATAATGAGCTGTCACTAGAAAAATTCTAACAGCTGTCGGAAGAGTGGTTTGAACTGACAGCAGTCTGAAGTTAAGTGGATTATCCTCGTATGCGTATTTTTGCTAGTTATATTTCCTATCGTAATACAAAATTGATCGAATCCATCCCATTGTGTAACGAAAACCTATTTATTTTACAAACATTTATTTACTGTAGCCAGCGAAGCATTTAAAGGTGAAAATGAATATTTTTCACATAATTGGAGCAGAAACAAAAAAAAAAAAAAAACCTTCACACAATCAAGCGTTTTATGGCCCAAGCCAAAGAAAATAGTAAAGTCGAAATGTAAACATACAATCTAAAACAAACGAAGGCAATTGCCAGGGATAGACAGGCCAAGTATTAGTGGAAGTAAGGATAAACTTTTTTTGTCATCATTATCAACAAAAAAAGAAGATTTACTTTTCTTGAGTTTTTTACTTTTAACAACCTTCTCCATCTTCTCGATATGTAATTTTCCCAAATAACATTTTTCATTTTTATTGCAATTACATTTTGTTGTCTTTAATGCGACTAAATTTAATTGCTGTTTATTAATTTAATATTTCGTTTGTTCTCTTTCTTCCCTCCATCTGTGTGTGTGTTTTTTTTAGGTTGCCATCAAGGAAGGTTTCCTGCTGAAACAAACATGGTCGTTCCAGCGTTGGCGTCGACGGTTTTTTCGCCTGAAACGTAATAAACTTTATTATGCCAAAGATCCCAAGGTCAGTATTTTGCACAGCCATCATTTGAACGTTAAACTATTGCTCTCAAACTAAAACAGTCTATTCGGCTTCCTTGGAAAACAGTTGAGGGGCTGGAAGGGGCCAACTTTAGAGGATTTTTGCTTATTTATTTTGTTTTACAACAACAATTGACGCCCACCCGGGCTTTAGTTTTTGTTTTTCCAACCACCAACTTATCAAATGCATTTCTTATGTTTCTTTAACGGCTAGGAAGCCCATAAATTAGTTTGCAACTGCTTTAAGTTTGTTTTTTTTCATATCAGAGCATCCGTTGAAATGCTCCAACATAACTTATGACGTCCATCTATCCATCCATCAATGGAAATGGGAATGGCAATGAAAAAAATACCATTGGTGGTTTGGATCGGTTGTGGTCAGCTATGGCATATGGGGTTGTGTAGCCATGAGATAAATGTCACATCCGTATTTCCCTGATTATGCCTTTTGGCTTATGGAAAACAGACATTAAATGGAAACACTGCAATTAGAAAAACATCCTGTACGGCAGGTATTATTCTCTCCCCCCGAGCCTTTTGTCGATTGGCTAATTGGAAATGTGCGCTGTTTGATTAGCACAACTTCTGTTTAATGACATTAAAATATCAAATGTCAACCGGGATGAAGGCAAATGAGTGTAAATTGCACTCGGAGGCTTAAACTTGAAATTAAAAACATTTTGCTACCTAACAACGGGAAAACTTGTTGCAAATGATGTTTACTCTTTAAAATTTCCTGATCACTAAAAGAGAAAGAGTTGGGTAGAAATAAAAGCTGTGGGCAAACATATTTACATTATATTACCAAATTTAAAAGATTTTTAACCCATAATTCAGAAAATGAAAATTTCCAAGGTCAATCCTAATTTTTATGAAATATAAAAAAGTCAAATGCCTAATTGTTAAAAAAAAATATTTTATATTTTTTAATAATTAGGCATTTAACTTGCAAATACGTGGGTTGAGCAACTCAAGCTTAGTTCTTTACTTGGGTATGGTACCTTAAAATGGAAGAAATATTAAATTTGTCATTCAGTTTGCAATACCCCGAAGTATTTATGATCAACGTATGTCCACCCGGCTTTTGAATTCATGATATAGCCGCATTAGGGGTAGATAGTTGAAAATTGAAATTTCGGATTGTCAGAGGCTAGTTTAACTCCCATATAATCAATGTAAATCTACTTTTAGCTCCCATATGACGGTACCTAGTTTCCAACCACAGTATTAGATACTAAATGCAGATCATCCATATAGGTTATTTTACCACCTGATAAATATTGATATATTGACATTACAGGAAGCCACATTATTGGACCAAATTGGAAACCTCGTACGATGTACAAATGGAAATCAACACGCATGTTTGTTTAGTCTTATATTGGATTTCAGATTCTTTTTTAAGACGTTGTCAAATCTTCTGAAAAATCCAATTCTTCTAAAAGATTATCTCCAATTCTTGCATTAAAATTGTTTCTATATCTTTTATAAAGGGTCTCCGGATATTATTCCAATTCTTCGATAAGGAAATTTTCGAATCATTTTCAAGGAGGCATCCAGATATTCTCTCAAAAGATCTCTACATTTTTTATAATAATATAACCACATATTCTGTGAGAAGATCGTCAAACCCTGTATCAGAATTTCTTCAGATCTTCTGTAAGAAAATCTACAGATATGTTATAAGAAGGCTCTCTATGAAGTCCTTCTGATCGTCTATGAGACCTTTAGATAGTCTATGAGACCTTCAGATCATCTATGAGACCTTCAGATCTTCTATGAGACCTTCAGTTCAAATTTCCACATTTTTTCTAAGAGAATCTCCTAATCTATTATTAAAATATCACCTAACCTTTTCCAAGAAAATCCATAGATCTTCTATAGGATCTCTAGATAGTCAATTAAAATATATTTAAATCCTTTACAAGAAATCCTCAAAAGGACTGTCTACAGAAGGATCTTCAGGTCTTCTATAGGGAAAACTCCAGATCGTTTGTAAGAAAGTCTTAAGGTCTTTTAATGAAATTCTCTAGATATTCTGTAAGAGCATCACAGATCTTCTATAAGAAGATCGTCTATCAAAAGTCCTCCAGGTCTTCATTAAGAATATCTATCTAGAAGAAAACCTTCTAAAAGAAGATCCTCAGATATTCTAAGGTAACAATTTCATATCTTAAATTAAAAGATCTCCAGATATTCTATAAGAAGATCTGGCGTTCTCCTTATAGAAGATATGGAAATCTTATAAACAACGATAATGTTTTTCACATCATCAATAAGAAACATCTTCATTAAGATAATCTGCAGATTATTTTAAGAAAACCTAAAGACCTCCTTAGATAAGATCTTTCCATCTTCTCCAGAGAGTCCTTAGGATTCTCTCCAAGAATGCCTCAAGATTTCCTATTAAAACATCTCCAGGTCATTAATTACAAGATATTGAGATCTTCCGCATAAAGATTCTGAGGTCTTCCACAAAAATTTGACACGTCCCCTTTCATCTATATTGGCAATCTTCTATAGAAAAATTTTCAGTAGAACGATTTGCAGACTAGAGCACTGATTTGCTCATTTTTACTCGGGAGTGAAACCTGCTCGCGAGCTGGAATGTAAAAATAAAGAAGATAAAAAAATATAAACAAGGGGCCGGTGCATTCGTTTACGAACGAATTTTGCCCCTGCTCTTAAACGATTAATTCTTGTTCGCCTCTATTCGAGCGAGACCGAAAATTATAGTTTTTCTCGTTTTGATTTTTCAACTCCTGGGAGTTTTGCTTCCATTTTGTTTTTTTCTACTTCAGATAGTGTTGCCACTCGTCTTTTAGCCAGTTTCACTCTTAACTCGAATTCGAAATTCAAAAGGCCTTGAGTCATCGCTAAAATTGGGTAACTATTCGGCCTTTTAATTTTGGGAGACAGATAAATCAACTTTTAGCTCTACTTCTCATCAATATTACCATAGAAACACATTTTTACCACTCCCTACAATCCTAACATCTTTTGAAAAAGCTTAAGTCTCGTGAAAATAGTCATCCTTAAATTCGTTTTTTAAAATCTCAAGACTTTTTGCAACTTCCTCCTGTCGAACAAGCTTCCTACATAGCGCATCCTTTTCCCTATAAGTATTACAATACATATTTATCACACACACTCGTTTACGTGTCACACATAATGACACAGCTACTTTAAATTGCAAACACTTGGTGGTATTATGATAACGCTTAAAAATGCTGCCGGATATCAAGGATATCCATCACACACTCTTCAAACCTCCTCCACTCCTGCCGTGTCCTATTGTTGGTATTTACATTTGTGGAGATAGGGCATTTACATGGTTGAACATTTTTTGGAGTGATTATATTTTCTGAACATAATTGTTTATTTATCTTTGTCAACAACCATCGTTCTGCCCCTCCCCCAATCTCACACGATGTCCTTTGGCCTCCATCCAACAATTTTTAAGGATATTATGGCAAAATAATAACATTTTCATGCTGCCACGGTGGACTCGTATAAATGTCCCGGTCGGTAGCATGTCATGCGCTCTGCCTCTGTCTCTTTGCCTTTGATGGGTATTAAAATTACAATATAATAAGCTTCAAATAAGCTATTATTGTTGTTGCTACTGCTGCTGCTGCTGCTGTTTTTGTTGTTGGTAAAGTGATCCAAAAAATCATAACATTTTCTTTTACGGGATCTGGTTTGTTTTACACGTTCTTTCCGTTACGCTGAGCCAATAAAGGAAATTATGGTTTTCGTTTGCGTGTATGTGTGCATGTACGTACGTACGTGTGTGATGATAACTCGGTGTATGCGTGTGTGCCTGGCGTCAAAGTGTAAAAGAAAACCAATTTCAATTTAAAGAATACACCTGAGTTTCGTCAGGCTTAAGGATTAAAAGTTATAATACCTCCCCAAAGGCACAAAGTATCAAAGATGTTGGTGGGGGGAGAGAGAGAGAGGGGGGGGGGGGGGAAGGAAAGGAAATATGTCAGCATAAAACCTTAAAAATTGTAAATTGAATTTTTGACAAAACTAATACCTTCTTATCATTGGTTATTTATAAAGTCATCATTTTCCAAAGTTTTAACAGGTTGTATATAAATGAAATGCCTGTTGGCGTGTGTGTGTGTAATTTCATGTTTGTCCAATCAATAGATTCCTGAGGCTTAACGATAGGCCTGTTTTTTTTTGAGTGTACTGCATGCAACTCCTTGCCATGTGGTCGATAGTCGTAGTATTTTAGCGCGTGTTTTGTGTTTACTACGTTTTCACCTCTACTCACCATGCCGTACTATTTTACCTGAAAACAAAATTTGGAATAGAGAAAATGAAAAAAGAAAAGAAGCAAATAGACACGTGAGCATTTTGCCGGGGAAAACAAATGCATGATACTTATACATACATATAGCGTATTTACAATGAGAGAGTGTGTGTGTGTGTAAAGGAGAGACTTGGTAAAATGAGAGTTTTTACAAAAAATATTGAGAGTGTCATTTTATTGTTGCCACCTATTAAGTTGGGGAAAATATGCGAGTTTGTTTCTACTAAATAGCGGTCAAAACCCTCAATATCAATGAAGTGTGGATTTGAGTATTAAGGCTCTGAAAGGTAAACTATTCAAACTGATGAAGAAAATGAATTTTCCATAACTGTCGGCGATCAAAAATTATTACCCGCTTTTAGTAAAATTGTGACATTTTGGAGATCGCCGACTTTTCGTCAGTTTAAGGGATAATTGGAAGGCAAAATGAAAAAAGCTTAATTTGGTACGTATGAATCAATCTAAGCGTGAAAATTTTGGCAAACTAATATCAGCGGATATTTTGCATAAAATTAATTTGGACATTATTATAACCCTAATCCGACTATAAAGGATTTTTTTTTATAAGAATAACATCTTAGAACTAAAGTGAATTAATTTTGGCTGCTTTGTCGATTTTGTGTTCTCTTTCCCAAGGCTTTAATAAACCCTCCAGAATA